GTTTTCGAATTATGCCCCATCGATAACAAGAAATAGTTTAACCGGTCGTGTGTTGCGGGATTTTGTTTGCGCAAGTCTTCTTTCGATGCTTTGATATTAGATATGTGTAAGTGAAGCAGTAAACGACATCTCTCCGTGCTATTGGTTTTGAATCTACATCTATTAATATTGTTTAGGAGTGAATGCCAGAAAACGAATCTGTTCTACACAAAATAATGTGCATTATTAGAAATAAGAGATCGAGCGTCATGAGCAACATTTGTTAACACGCAATTTTATCTGTCTTGTAATATATAATGGGTTCACACATAAGAGGAATATAATTGATAATATTTGTCGGTAAATGAAAACCATGACGAATGCAACAATGGTGACGGGAAATGATGCGCGATATGGACATTATAAATTAAATGTGAGTGAACGCGTGTGTACTTACGAATGTAAAGAATATTGTGACAGAATTAGTTAAATATGATGGACACATGAGCGATTTCTATGAGAGTAAGGTAGAATAAATAAATTAATTACGACAGAAGCAAGGAATAAACAGATGGGATGCAGAAACGAATTCGAACAATAGGAATAAAGAAAATTCGATACTAGAACTCGCGATGAGCAAACATAAGAGATAATCCGCGTAATATTGTTGTTGATAGTAGAATGGCGCAAATAATGAAAAACTGGGGAGATGAAGGTAAGACTGGATTGCGAAAGAACCTCCGAGGTTTTGGATCCCGATCAAAAGTTTTTTTGTCGATTTATTAGGAGTTCAAAGCTGAACTGAAAATGAGTTTGAAAGTAGTAAAACGCGAACTATTGCATAATAAGTTTAATGAAGTAATAAAATAGATAATGAATCGGGACATTGATGTAATTTTAATTACACGAGCGCGTATGTCAACACCGATGTTTTCGTGTGTTGAACTGTGAAGATGGCGATGGAGTGAACGGGTTACGACAGTCCAGGGTGCAGATTTGGAAGAAACAGTAACGATATGGGACAATTTTATTGAAACTGGGAAACTGTAAGATCAAGTTTTGTTCATATAAATTAAGATTAAATTAACTTGGGTAGAAATGATGGCCATGCATACATTAAGGGAGAGCCTATAAGAATAATTTGACATTCAGAATAATCAGATAGAATTAAATGTTATAAATATAAATGTTTGTTGGAAATTTGTATGATGAAATTGTTTGTATGAAATTTGTTGGATCTTTGTCGTTATGTGGATAAAAAATGTATTAATACATTTATGAATGTTTTACAGAAAACAGATACGTAAAATTAGTCAAGACGTAAGCCTTCTTATTGGTGAGTAGTAAGAGGTGTCCCCGATCGTATTTTTGGAAATCAAAAAAAAATCACAACGTATGTAAATTTACAATCTCGAGATCCTCTTTAGGTGGGCTATCGGACCTGCAGAATTTAAATTTTTATCACGATAGCGTAATTTCCGCTGGTATTCAAGTTCCTGCAAAAGAAAACATCGTATAAAATAATTATAATTAATTGCAAAGTTGATGTGCGTAGCGAGAATGTAATGTTTGTTGCATAAGGTAATAAGCCGGGAAGTAAATTTATCAGATTGATTTATAGGCTGATGTGGAATGAGGCCAGATTATCACGCGTGATGTGGGGCGATAGTTGGTGTTTATAAATAAGAATGTTTATAAACAATGGTCGAAATTTCAAGCGACCTGAAAGCATCAACGATCTACAACGTATTTGCAACAACAAACAGGTTGCTTCAGAGTGATAGTACTGATATGATAGTACTGTAGACCAAATAACTGAAGTTCTACTTTTTCCATATCTGACAAAATTCGAACCAAAAAGGGTGCGGATAGTACTACGTGGATGTGTACTCACCGCGAACCGCAATGGTAGACAGAACTTGGATATTGAGTCTTTTAAGATACTTTAACAGACAAGATAATACAATCATCCTAAGAAATGTACAAGAAAGAATGAGCGCTTTTCAAAACTTTATTTTGTGATTTTGTAGCCGATTACTTACACCATGATATTTAATGTCTAGCTTATCTTGGCGCCTCTGGCGAGTACTTATTAATATTAAAATTGTTTATTTGTACTTCGTAAATTGATGTTAAAAAGAAATATTGAAGATTACAAACGTTTCTTTAATTATTATCATTGGTGAATCAAAATGTGAGTATTCATGTTTTGACAGAATTGCCACGTGTTAATTCACCACCAAACCTCCAATCACTCCAAAACACTATTTGTTTATATTTCTTCCAAAATGTTTTTGACGGATTTGGTTTAAAATGGGGTAAATCCATTCGCCTTGTCGACATAATTCGAATGAACTATTGATCACTTCTCTAGGTACCTTACCCCTTCTCAACACGCATTTTATGTTGTTGTTTGTTTTAACTCTTAGAACGTTCTTGCAAGGTCGGGAAAAATTGTCCTTTCCCAACAGTAGACACATTGAATGACATCTCACTTGTCTCGAATTGTACACCGAAAAAGTGGTGACTAAAGAATAGTCACCGTGACTGATGACCGTGACTAAAGAATGGTTATACACCGATTACCACTTCACATGTAGAGTTAATGTTAATCTCGATCCATTTATAATGTTCAGCATGGAAACGAAAAAGATTTCGATGAAAACGAAAACAACCTTTCCCCAACAGCAGACATATTCATGTTAATATTAATAATAATATTGATATGCGGCTGCCACCAATTGAGGTCGGGAACCAGACAGTGCAATATTGTTTTCCTGCACCATTGTTCGTTTTTGGAGATATTGGTGTGAACTTTCTTTTTCAAGTGGTCGTTTGTGTGTTGTGACAGCGCGATATTCAGGGAGTCGGCGATAACTGGCTCACCTTGTGTACTGTAAGGAGACCTCTGCACCGACTGTTCCGTGCTCCCTCGAAAATTCCTCGCACGATCGCCTTAATAGGGCTCTTACCTGCGATCAGTTGTGATGGGCCGTTCGGATGCTAGGGCTAATTAGCTAACGCTCGAATGCTAAATGAAGACCGAAACTCAAACATTTGAATGTTTGCTAGAATGCTTCGAATTCAACGCTAAAAAAATATCTTTACTCTTCTAAGCATTTAATTGTTACTTTAAACTTTTTTTACGTTAATCTTACCTTAATTTTTAGAATATTTCCCAAACTTTTTCTTACATTGAGGTTATACAAAGTACATAATCAGATTTTTTCCAACAGGACCTACATATGAATTAAACAGCTTCATCACAATTGTTTAATCTCAACAATCTTCATCTTTGTAGAGTGTTGGCAGTAGTTATGCTTATTGATATTATTCCGCTTTAGGTTAATACAAAAAAAAAAAAAAAACAAGTGAAGAATGAAGGAGATCAGTGCGGCGCAGTGTAAACACGGGTCTGTACAGTCAGTTTTGCTCACAAAAGTCGCGAGCAGCGTGAAGCAAGTTGTTTATGGGCGTAGCTTTGGGAAATGTGAGTTCTTGTCGAAGTGTGTGACACTTCGTGGGCAGGCAAGACGCCTTGCTGCAATGAAATTAAATTTTGTTAGTGAAAATGAAGGTCGGCGAAAGAAACATCTGTTAAGTGCCATTTTCTGATTTGAAAATAATGACATCAAAAGCAATTGATAAAATAATAGAAGACTGAAAGTCTTACGACATCGGCGTCTGATACTGCTCAACGGTATCAGCTGATGAAATATATCATCAGAAGCACATCATTCAAGATTTGCACTCACTATTTTATTTTTGTCACGTTAAGTTGCATTTTTTAAAACATTTTTTACCTTTCTATCACAAGAATATAATTCAAAATTATTTCTTTTTACATATAATTTTTATTACTTTTCGTTGAATTTATACATTTTGTATTCTCTATTTATCTCATTTTAAGCAGACTTTATGCGATTAGTTAAGCATGCAATAAAGTAACAAAACCTCACTGTCATAGGAATCTACAATTCTCTTCACTGTGGTGGTAGTTGCTTCTTACATAAAAATCACTTAATTTGGTATATATTCTGAAAAACTACTTAAGTTAAATTAAACGATTTATACAAATGTTACAATACAAATTTTCTGCTCTTGGAAGGAATACGATCACAATTTTGATTCATTCTGCAGGGAATAGCAAACTTTTATCTATTCCAACTGGAGGTATAGTTAAAATATGCATTGGGAAGGCACTGGATTTGCGACGAAATAAATCACGCTTTTTCCCCGCAACAGTTCGTCACGGTCCCATTTTTAATGTGTGTTGAGTATCCTTATATCTCCGTCTCTATCGTTTCGGCTGGAAACACAGACATTGGCGCACTCCTACAAACATCATTCTCAACTTATTCGATATATTGGAATATTTCCTAATTCGATGGCATTTCATCCATGCGTCCCGGAGGAAAAACCAATTCGCAGCCTGAATTAGAATCATGCCGCTTCATTACGTTTCCAAAAGTGTAGATGAAAAGCGACCTAAATAAAATGAATAAATAATGAGTGAATTAACGAATAAATAAATGAATGAATGAAGAATGAATGGAGAATGAATGGATAATGAATGAATCTAAAACAATTTCCTGTCTCCCTGCGATTGTATCGTTAAGTTTGAACAACGCACTTTCTTGCTTATTATTACTTAGGGTTTACGGACATGGCGCCAAAAGACTTTTCGGATAGGACGACCCAATAAATTATAAACCGAAACAAAAAAATTAAAAACTGTTCGGATCACTATGAACCAAGATCTAATTTGATGCTACTGCATGAACTGACGGTACATTTGGTACCTTTCGTGGCGCACAGTTCGGTAGTTAGAATGAAATGAGGGCTGAGGGGAATTTATAAAATATAAAATACCGCAACAGCCGGTAGGCTTCCCTAAATTGATTTCTATTGGTGGTACTCATGAGTTTCTGTGGCCCAATGAAATTTAGTGTTCAATAAATTGTTATACTAAGAGAGTTCGGTTGACGGAATTGTTAATGTTGGTGTTTGTGTTGTGGCAGTCGCTGTGCTGCGGGCCGATGCCCACCAACCTGCAGCGTCTGTCGGCGTGCGTGGCGGCGGTGGTGGCCGCGCTGGAGTGCCCCGTGTGCCTGGAGGTGGTGGCGCCGCCCGCGCACCAGTGCGCCAACGGCCACCTCATCTGCGTGCGCTGCCGCGTGCGCTCCGAGCGCTGCCCCGTGTGCCGCGTGCGCTTCAGCCGCGGCCGCTCGCTGCTCGCGGACCACTGCTTCCAGGTGCGCACACCCCCTCCAATCCCTTCTTCTTCTTCTTCTTCTTCTTCTTCTTCTTCTTCTTCTTCTTCTACTCCTTCCGTCCGTCTTCTCTTTATTCTTCTTCTTCTACATTGTCTTCAAGCACTTCAACTGCTTTGAACATGTGTCCTGTTAGTATAGTCAATGTTTTGTACCGGGAGGTGGCGGTGATCCTCCCCATCTAAATGGTGAAATCCAGTGGCGACCTATGCGTCGGGTTATGGTGGTTTTCTCCTCCTGGTATCTCCCCCAGAGGGTCACCGCTCTAAGCACGAGCACGGGCTCTGCGCTCCCGACATGTCGCTTTTCTGTTATTATTATTATTATTATTATTATTATTATTATTTTATATTATTATTATTATTATTATTATTATTATTATTAGCCAACTGTATCCCCTTGAGGGCCAAGACCTTCTGCATTAACCGGGGGATTTAATCGCCTCATTCAAGAGATGAGGTGGAAGGTTGGTATTTCCGCTTAATTACAGATAAGTATAAGAAGTAATTTGATTCCTGTATGCAAGTGTTGGTCTTGATGTACTTGAAATGCTTAGTTAATTCAGAATAAATATACATAAAAGACGTTCAAAATTGCAGGACGGAAATTTTTCTAGTTCTGATGTGCATTCAAGGGTAGAGATAGGGTAAGAGATAAGTTGGAGGCCTTGGTGATTCTCGATGATATCGAAAATTCGACAAAATCTTTGTGAGACTTCGTACATAAAATTTCCTGGTGGTATCCGCTAAACTAATGGGCAGAGAACACCTGAATACACAATCAATCTTTCCTTCCTTTTTTTCGATTATGTAGCATTGTTTTAAAATCTAAGAAAAGAGTGTTAAGATAAATGTTCCTGGCCGCACCACAGCTGACGAGGAAACTATACTTTAAGCCTTGAGATACCTCTGGATCAGAATCTGATGATCTGTTTTCAGGATCCTGCCTAGGTTCAGGATTGTATTCCCGCAATTGGCACTACGTCACGAGATTTCAATGAAATATTCCGTTTCCTGCAACTTCTCTCCGTTTCTTGCCCCAATCGCTTTACCAACTCTCTCTTTGAGGCGTACGAGTATACACTGTACTACATAATGTTGCCTGTCATTCTAGATGAATTGAATCGTTTTTTCAGAAACCCGCCAAACGCCAAATTCCTCATTTCGAGAAAACTGAGAAAAAGTGTCTCAATTTTTCTGATTTAAATTTCAATTTTAATTCAATTTTTATTTATTAAAGCAGTTGATAAATTAATATTTTTCTTATAAATATGCACTAAACAATGTGTCTATCCTATTGGAGCAATAATCCGCTGCTAATGCGTGTTTTAGATTTTGGCGTTTGACGGGTTTCTAAAATAGATTCAATTGATGTTGTGGGCCATTGTGGAGTAAAGTGAATAACTCTGTATTTCATGTGATTTACACAATGGGCAACACACAGATATTTTGATTTTCTCGTTCGTTCTGCCTTGTGCCAGAGTCAAAAGAACCTCGTCATGGAATTCATAAGACACTCAGCCTCCGAGTTTATATAATGATACAAGACAAAATTTCTGCGCCCTCTAATACTACAATTGCACGAAATATGAAGCATCAATAGTGACACGTTTATCTGAACCGAAAATCTCAGCGCCAGGCAGCCACACTGCGCCGGAAGATAACATTCCAAATAAACTTCCAGCAAGAAATAAGGGATATAAAGAAATTCCATAATATATTTCAAATAAATCTTCGGTTTTTTCTCCAGAATCCTTGTTATTGATGACATGTAATAATAGTTGATAATTCATATTTTATAAGTATATTATAAAAGAAGTAGGTGTTGAAAAAGTAAAAAATTCAATAAGTTCCTTCAAGGTGATGAATGAGACATCAACGAAAATGCGTAGTTCATAGATTCTTGACTTCATAAACAAACGAAAACCAAACACAAGAAGGTATTTTGTTTTTATACAGTCGCTTAATAATCTAACTTTCAATACAACATTGTTTTTATAATACCACTTCGTTTTCCCAATTTTTAACGCAATCTTTAATTTTTTCCTCAGTTTACATAAAAATGGAGGGAATATAATTTTTGAGTTCTATTACGGTTTATAGAATCTTTCTATATTCGTGCGTCTCGCTTCTAATTGCCTCAGATAATTCTACTACGCCTCATAATGGAAAGTATCGAGACCTGTTGCTCAGGTGTGTAGTTGGAGCGGCCGTGGTGAAGTGGTGGGGGAATGCGGC